CCAACTTCAGGACAATCTGAAGGAGATGGAGGACGCTATCCAAGAATTGGAGACTATCATTCGAGAACTTGATCGAATTGGACCTCACTACCGTGAGTTGATCCAGAAGATCATAATCGATCAAGAAGAATGCAGGCGCCAAGCGCATGAACTTAGCGAAGAAATCGCAACCCGTCGGGCCCAGCACGAAATCTTCCCGTTGCACGACCAGACCGGTCAGGCCCTATTGGCGGCATCGCAAAGATTAAGATGGCGACTGGAGCAACACAAGATGGCTCACCGGTTTAGAACCAGGGCCAAAGAAGCCACAGCGCCATCACCATCACCGCCCCCAGAGAACCCACCAGTCGTAGTTACCGCTACGACAGGGAAATCTTCCGCGCCACCAGTGGCCCAGCCTACGTCTACCGACGAGGCAATATTGACGGCCACTGGACTGGAACCGCGAGAACCAGCATCTTCTCCGTACGACCTGAGGGCTTATCCAGACATACCGCCTCTGGAACGCGAACTTCACGCGGCGGAACTCCTAGAGGAGGAAATCCGCAAATCCATCACCAGATACAGAGCCGCAACCAGGACCAAACTGGCCGCCGTAGCCAGCCCGAGGAGCGCCAAACGCGCACATCACCCGGGAAACGGAGCGAGGCAGAGTCCAGTCTGGTTGTCGCTCAGTCCACCAAGCGACCAGAACGGAGTGTCAGTTCGGTGGCCCACAACATTAGCATTCAGATACCGATGGAGACTGAGTCCGCACCGCTGTCATCGGACCTACCGGCCCGACAAGACGCAAGCGTTAGTGCCACGGACTTCGACCCTTATAAACATGCTGAGGACCAGGGCATCAATATCCGGCCACGTCCCCATCGGGAGGTGACGGACTACATCATGGGCGCTATCCCATACCCTAGGGAGCGATGGGCCCAACTTAACGCCATGGTCCAGAACTTGCAAACCTTCGTCATCCGGTCCGGCCTCGAAATGGAGATGCAGAAAAAGGAGTGGCCTCGTGCTTTCATCATGGCGGAACACATTGATAACCGCGAGGGCTACCCCATGATCCGTGATAATGCTCTATCGAGCATCACGGACGTGAACTTACTTGGACAGCCCGTTACCAGACCGGACTGGAACGACTTGTGCCAACTGCACATAAAGGACGACCAACTTGACGTCGTCAAGTACCTGGCCCAGTTTGTCCTACCGGACGCAAACGCCAGTTGTATAGTCGCAGCCTCTAGAGCCGCCATGGAAATCCCATGCACGCCGGCCGATCACAAGGATGTCCCAGGAACGTACGCTTACTCGTACAACGGCACGATGATACGCATCTTCGCCGCTAGACTCGGACACCTACGGTGCCACTGGGAACTTGAAGTTGCCTATCGGCAGGGGACAATCATTCCTCGGTTACTGACCCAGGTGGCCCTCCTTGGAAATCAAATTCATGAAATCGAAGCGGGAGTCAAAATCCAGAGCGCCCTGAATGTTTTCAGGAGTCGCTCCAAGGACTACCGTTATCGACATCCAACGGACTTCGATGACGGAGCGGAAGCGTTCGTTAACCGAACGGCAGCGCGGAAACTTCCAACGAAGTTTCGCACCCAACGATCCTCAACAGGATCGTCCGCACACGTCCAGACCCAGGCCGAACAGTCTGGCCCAGAAGTCCAGCCGACCAGCACCTCCAGCCAACATCAACATAACCTGACTGAACAGGAATTGGCGGACATGGAGGAAAGCGTCGTCGACCCACTCAACCCAGGGTTGGGCGACGGCGACCAAGCCGGACAAAAAGGGCAAGAATAGGCCAACGGCCATTCCTGCATGTCGGCCCTAAAAATTGGACCGGCATCAGCTGAACCGGACTTGAACACCATAATGGGTACAATCCAACGGTTGTTACCCTCGCCCAACAAACGTGGCTTACAGCCATGTATCGTCTACCTTACCGGACCTTAATCCCTGGATCTTAACCGGATTCCCCGGATTGGCTCTGGCTTAGCGGCTGGGACCATGAATTTGGCTCGGCCATCCCAGACCATCCGTCGGAGTCCACCGGACCGAACTTGGCGCAAGGCCCGGTTCACCGGCATGGAAAGGATCCAGCGCCCAGAAGGCGGCGACGGCCCGCATAGAAGTTGCGACAAGCCGTGGATCGATCCTGGCCCGCATAGAAGTTGCGACAAGCCAAGGATCTGCCTGGCCCGCATAGAAGTTGCGACAAGCCAAGGCCAAGTCCTGGCCCATAGAAGTTGGACCAGGCCCGCTGTGTGTCCAACGGACCATACGCGGCTCACGAGTTTAGTTGCCATACCAGGCAACCGAGACAAGTGAGTAAGGGAGCCACATAGAAGTTGTGGCACACCCACTTTGTATGCCACGTCCAACATCCTCACCACGGACCGCCCAGAGGCCCATCCAAAAGATGCACCGCCTCGAGGCCAAATGAGGATGCTTCTAGTCAGAAGACCGACTCCTTTGTGGAAAACGCCTACCGGCGCCCACAACTTAATTTTTTTGGAGTTTGGCCCGGCTAACCTGACGTTTTCGTCAGAAGCCACTTAATTTTGTTATGGCCACGGTCTCAGGGAAAATTGCCTATCTGACTCATCGGACATGGTAGTTAACTTATGGCCCACGGCCAATGAGACGGACCAGACTCAATGAGTCTGCAACTTTGGCCCGCCATCAACCTTGGGCGTCGAAAAAACGACTAAGTCCTTTTGGCCCGCCATACACCTTGGACCGTCGAAAAAACGACTAAGTCCTTTTGGCCCGCCATACACCTTGGACCGTCGAAAAAACGACTAAGTCCTTTTGGCCCGCCATACACCTTGGACCGTCGAAAAAGCGACTAAGTCCATTTGGCCCGTCATCAATTTTGGACCGTCGAAAAAGACTAAGTCTTTTGGCCTGTCCAACGACGTGGCCCACCAAAAATCGACTAAGTCTTTTGGCCCGTCCAACGACGTGGCCCACCAAAAATCGACTAAGTCTTTTGGCCCGTCCAACGACGTGGCTCATCAAAAAACGACTAAGTCCACATCGGAGCGCCAAACCTGGCCACATAGGACTTCCGTGTCCCGCACCCGCCAGAGGCAAGCCCCATCACAATGGAACCTAGGATCCCGCCTAAGGCATGTCAGAGACCGAGTTTGGACCGCCCCAACGGGTTTGGTCCATTACACCACTTCGGTCCTTGGACTTAGAAAATTTTTCCATTGTGGCCCTCTTGGACTTAGAAGATTTTTGGACCTAGGCGCATGACCGAACTGGCATGCAAAGCCAAACCGGTCCAAGTTAGAGACCCATGCTACACCAGGGACAACCCTAACGGGTCAGGTCCAACAGAGGCATGTCAGACCAAAGCATGGCCATCCTAACAGAATTGGTCCAAGCACACTAATTTGGTCACAAGAGCACCTCTCCTGCCCAGAGGCATCACTCTGGCCCACCATGGACCGCCCAACCGGGCTGGGTCCACCATACTTGAACCAGGAAGGGGACAACCTGTCCTTGCAAAAGCAATAGTGCCTTCCATATACCGCACCGCTGGATTTACTTTACTGGACCCCTGTGGACATCTCTGGGAACCGTCGCCCCGGATCTACAGGACCAGACCAATCCTACCGGATAAAGCGGACCGTTGACTAGGACCCGTGTGGACAAAAGTGGCCCTGTGGTAACCCTAGTCGGAATGAGCTATTTTACGTCTAGTTTTTTAACCATACCTGGTTTTTCTAGACTTATTAACCAAAGAATTGATGTTTTTATTTAGCCAAATAACCAAAGGAATTGGCTTTGGGATCTCTAACTATGATCTTACTTTCTTTAATTCTCACCGAAATTGTGATTTTTCTATTTCGATGTTTAACCAATGAGCCTTATAAACTTTATTTTTATACCTGTTCGACCAACCAAGCCTTCAAACCACACTGGAACCCCCAGCAACCAGAGTGCACTCCAGATTTCGGCCGTTCGGTGCACTGCACCGCGGGTCTGGAGGAAGCGACCCTACCGGGTTTAGAGACAAAGTGGCATCCGGCCCTACCGGGTATCGGATCCTGGCACCCTACCGGGTTGGTCAGGGGCAGAGTCGGAAGGTGCTCGCAGGAGCTCCCACTCCCGCCCAGAGGCATGTCAGAGACCGCACACTCGAGGCGGTAGACACCTCTTGTGGCTTTGCTCTGTCGCCCGCCCGCACATGGCTACTCCATTCGTGCCGCGCTATTACGCTGCTCACTCAGCGTATACTTTGTCTACGCTGACCAATCAGCGTATTTCTGCACTCTTGGGGGCGTAGCCCAGCGCTTACGAGCGATTCCATGCTTTACGGCATCAGCTGTTGCATACCTGCAGCACGCTGAATCATTATCACGATTCTCACGAGCTCGCTGGCAGCTACTTTCCACAGCATATGCCGCATTGGCTTTTTCTGTGTTTGTTTGTGGTTGCTTTATTGTTACCAATAAAGGCATATTTTGCCCCATTTTCCATCTGCTTCTGTGTCATATCTGACAGCCCACGCAATCGGAATTGTCGTAATGGCTATTGGATAATGTTCTAAGTATACGGGACGCTTTTTCACGAATATAATGTTATTCAGGAATGTGGTGCGATTCGTTTACTCCTTCACTCATAATGATCTGGTTTTCCTCTTACTGTTTTTAAATGGCTTGCTACTTACTTTACCGAATTGCTGTGTTGATGCGGAGCCTCTTGATGCAGATTCTGCAGCGGTTTTTGTGTTACAATTTTCTGTAATTTACTACGTTTTTACCAATGAATTACCCATACACATTTTACAATTCCGCAAAAATTCGTGTGCAAGGAAACGAAATAACGCAGCACATTGGTTCGGTACGGAACACACTTCGCCTAATCACACACCGATGCGGGACGTTGTGTCATATTAAAGTTACACTGAGTCTCTGCTTCAGGGTCTGGTTGGACTGTTTTTATGTGTCCTCGAAAAAAGCATCGTACCCGGTGCAAAGACATGATCCCGAACCATTTAATTTCCTTGCAGATTAAAGCAATTAATTTTTGTTTAGTACAGTATTTGGTTAACAAGTATTTTTTCGAGTAAAAATCCACGGCATTCAACCGAGTCCCGAACAGAACTATCCCAGACCAGAAATAACACACAACTCTCCCAACACTGACTTTGGTTAAAAAAAATCCAGCCTCACTACGATAGGCCGAGGAACGGTGCTGCCCTCTCGCGAGTTAAGCGCGCTTTCGTCTTAGATTTTCTGCAGCTGCTCCGGGTGTTTGACGTAGCGGAAGAGGGACAGCACTGCAACCACAGTAAGCTCGTTTGCAAAATGCACTTTGAATTTTTCTCGTATTTTAATGCTTGGAAATTTACGGTGACGTTATTTTGTCATCAGGTGTTAAAATTTCCTAAAAAACGAAGTTAACAGAATGGAATATTTTAAGCCTGTTATAAATTTACTTAATAAAATAAATAAAATAAATTAAAAAAATTAAGATTAATGTAAAAAAATTACAGCGCAGTGAAAAATAAGATAGAAACTTCCACTATTTCGATTTGTGTTGGTAATTACAGCGAAGTGAAAAACAAGTTAAAAGCAAGTCGTGCTAAAGTCGAAGGACTAATCGCTCTGTGCATCAATCTACCTGAAGTAATGGCCCAACTGTCCAAGATGACACCGATGATGTGCAATATCAGCCGGACAATAATGCCGGCATGCGGCTTCTACAAGAGACACAGATAGAATAGGTAATCGTTGTTATGATTATTAAATGCGCACACTTCATAAATCGATCGCCGCTGACAGGCTGAGCTAATCGAATAACACGCCGGCAAATACATGTGTCAACACATCGGTCAGCGACATTGACCACAGCATCAGATAGCCGGCTTAATGGCTCGCTCTGTCTGGCTGGTTAAACAGTCTGTGTGCTTCAGTGTTGCGCGTGAAATAGCCGGTCTAAACGCTTGCTCTGTCTGCTCCGTATATCAGTCTGTCAGTTCCAGTATCGCACGTGAAATAGCCGGTCTAAATGCTCGCTCTGTCTGCCTCTCTATCAGTCTGTCTGCTCAGTGTCTCACCTGAATGTCCCAGTCACTGCAAAGAGACAAAACACGGCTTTAAAATTGCACTCAGCGGGAAACGCGAATGACAACCTTGCACGCTAATTCAGCCGATTAATTATACAAACACATACTTGTCGTAGACGCACAGCCAATAGATGCTCATGATGATCATGGTGCCGCGGATGAACGCGTACAGCACAGCGATGATCAAATAGACAAGTAAACCTACAACAATTCACTTGGTTATTTTTTGTCGTTAGAAGCGGATTATTAAGTGGCTGACCTGATTCCTGCCGCCTGTAGATGGACACGTACAGGATGATCCCGCCCAGGATCAGGAAGAAGGCGGCGCTTAGCGTTATGATGTGCAGCACTGTAAATAAAAAGTTGCCGGTTATGCAACGTAATCCAGCCTTTACTGGATCAGCTTACTAGCGTAATCCAAATGGCCAAGGAAATTAAAGGCAATTATAAAAATCGCATCCAACAAGCCAATAATCTGCAAAGCAAAAATAATTACAATTTGCTTGTTCAGTGAGTTCTTGTTGTTTAATCTTTTCTTCAGAATTATGTCTAATTTATCTAGAAATTAAAAATATAATTTTTAACAAAAAGCTACTTACAGAACGAATAAATTATTATAAAATTTAAAAATATAATCTAAAAAATAAGTTGCAAATTTAAAAAAAAAGAACAAAGTCAAAAAAATGAACAAATTTTACACAAAATAAAATTTTGTTTTTTGATTTCGGCATCATTTTCAGCAATATTATTTATTTATATTTTTATTTAAAATTGCTCGTGTATTTGAAGGCAGTTCAATCGATACTTATTGTCGAATATTTAAAGATTTTTTATGGTCATTTTCTCTTATTTTTTTTCACACAAAACTGTTAACGATTCACAAAAAGGAGCGACTGAACCAGTGCCAAAGATGCGAAAATGTCAACACAATCTTCGACTTGAAGTTGTATACAGTCTACACTTCAATCGGCGCTTGTTGCAATTTCGCCGGCGCATCACGCGGTTGCATAAGCAAAACCTGATTATCACCCGCCATAAAACGCATCCAAACCCATCACACTGCTCGCCGATTGCCACTATAATCCGGGCTTTATTACGCAATAAGTCAAGCCATAGTTGCAGCTATTTTCACTGCGTGGCGGGTGTCTTTTGGATGCCGGTTTGGATGTTGTGCGATATATGTGCGGTGCGTGTGTTCCCAGCGTTGTCTAGCGTGCGATCGATCAATCGAACTGTGTGTACACTGTGTAGGAACGACATGTCTGCCTGTCGACCGGAAGTGGTATTGTGGCTCGGTACTGGTCTGCTCGCAGTGTTTGCCGACTTCTCATGAATACAATAACATTGTTCATTTAAAGACAGTTATTGATTGTATTGATCGCCAAGAGGAAATCGGTAAAAAAAAGGAGCAGACTGTTTTCTTCCCCATTTTAAAATATCAAACAGCCGGCAATGCAAAACATATCGACAAACACCACGTAAATTAGAGGACTGTTATTTTAACATATAACATATTTATTAAAAATATTAACAACTAAAATAACAGCGCTTAATACAGTAATAAGAACCTACGGTTTGTGAAGTAATTAAATAAATTGTTCTGACTTCCGAGATCATGTACAGAAACCGCTAAAACTGAAGGCAGTTTTTTTTTCATAAATTCAAAATACCGAGGAGCCGGCGTGTGCAAAATATACCGGAAAAATTAAGTGCGTTGCGTCGTTTCTGATATTCAAAACCTTATTCAGAACAATAAAAAATTCAAATTAAAATAATTTCTCATAAAAATGCTTTAGTATTACAGAACAAAAATTATGAAGTAAATATACAGATTAAATTATTAAAATTATTAAAGGGGAAATTCAATACAGAAAATTTTTTAAAGGTTTTTAACCGCATGATTTTTAAGTGACCGGATTAAAATTTTGTTAAATTATTCTGGTGAAAATACTAAATAATTATGAAGAAGCGCAATATGTGCAAATTTTTTAGTATGTGCAAATGTTTTGCAATTACTGTATATGCAAATATGCGCAATAAATTTTTTTTAATCCGCCAAATTTTTTTTAGTACTTTAATCCGCAAAATTGTTTTAAGATTTTAATCCGTAATTTTGTTTAGTTTTTTAATCCGCAAAATTTTGCCGAAAAATAATTTCTTTATAATAACGCAGTCTTATCAATTTGGAAATATTTTCGCAACTGAAAAACCGCCGTTCCAGCGACGATTAATCGCCCCGCATGGAGGAGAAAAACTAGTCCAACGATGATGAATGGAATCCTTTCTTTGCGCGAAGTGTGTAATTACGTAACCCGAGCGCGGCCTAATACCATCGCGTCAGCGTCATGAGCCGGTGTGTGTTGTTGTTGTTGGGCACGCACAAGGGCGATTAGGCTAATGTTGCTGATGGCTGTTATGCGCCGCACACACAGTGTTTATACGTGTGCATTTCCGTACATGGTCATCCCGGCCCGCGCATTCTTCATCGGTCTGTTCTACTGTATTATATAGCCCCCAGCGTCGTCGAGCGCCACTCGCCGGCAACCTGAACCCACTTGACGCCCTCCACACGGCTTAACCTTAATCGCTTCCTCCTAGTACCCTCCACCACAATAAGCACAGCAGAATTCGGCCAGCTTTTAATTTATCGGCGATTTTTAATTTTACCTATGCCAGCAATAAATACAAAATTATTTACATGTATACAGCATAGTAAGAGCTGCTTAATCTTAAATCTTATAAATAGATTTTTATAAAACCGTTTAGGTGGACTAAATTACAGTATAAGTGATTATGTTGTTCCTAAGGAAACACATTTTTTTGGGATTTATTTTAATTTATAAACTATTGTACCAATAATCAATGCAAAATTATTTATAGATCATGATAGGAAGCTGTTTATTCGAAAAACACATAAATAGACTTTAGAAAGGCGTTTAATCAGTATTCTCTACTAGCAGTAAATTATTAATTAATTCTTTTTATCGAAACGAATTTTATTTTAAATTTATTTGAGCTGTGTTTGTGTGCAGCTGATGTAAGATTTAAATTAAAATAAATCAGTAAACAGCAAGTTTATTCACAATCCGTGTTGGCACTTGGCAGCATGTTTATCGAAAATGCAACAAACAGATTTTGCTTTTAAATTACGTTTTTTTTCTAAAATTTTTGACAGCAGTGTACCATAATTAGCTTTGACACCCACGCAAATTTTGCCTCATATATAAAAAAATTTAATCGGTAAGCAACTAATGCGAAATTAATTCGTCATTGTATCAATTATTCAGGTAAATTTTATTTCGCATTTTTTAAAAAATAATTTATATGTATTCTGTATCTGTATATGCAGTTAATAAGAGAAATGTATTTAATTAAATTATTAATTTATTATCTAGGCCATTTGGATAATTTATTTCTTAATTTTTTAAATTAAATTTTAAATGCAGGTAATGGGTGATTTGACTTCACGTATAGGAAAAAACCCAAATGTGCCGACAAGACCGATAATATTTAAAAACATATGCAAGAAACATTTTGTACAGTTTCCGGCTGCCGGCATGTTTCCTTCGCCGGCTAATAAAATTTCACATGTCAGTGTAATTCGATCTGTGCATATATCGGCTGTGCAGCTTTCCACATCTATTAACCTCGATCATCAATAATTTTCGCCCAATTTCCCCCGAGATCCATCAAAAATAAACCGAAATCGCCCATATTGCACCGGCGATGTGTCTATGACTATGCAATATACACGCATCGCTACGGTGTCCTGATTTGATTTCACAGCTGTTCGACGCCGGCAGTGCATGATCAGCCAAGGAAACCAAATTCATCGGAAGCTCGCTCACTATCACGCACAAATTCCGCTACCGACAAGGAAGCACTTTATCAACTGTTTACATTTTTTCATATTCCTGTCAACACGCCGGAATCAAACACAGATTTCGAAGCGACGATAAAAGCTCCATATTTTCAAAAATTCAAATATAAAACATAATGACATTTTCTATTTCTCTCGTTCGCTTAATAAGAAACTTACACTTGTTTCTTCTTATCAGCTGAACCAAATTTGCGATTATTTAAATTATATTTTCGCGCCGAATTTTGCAAAAATTGTGTTTGAAACAAATATTTAATTTTATTGCTAGAATAAATAAAAAAAGTTTTTCTAACTTAACAATATAAAATTTAAAATCGCAGAGCTTAAAAAAATTAATTAACGATATTTTAAATATTTTCCGACAGCAAACCATTATTTTAAATATTAAAATATGTAAACGGAAAAACAACCTTCGTTTAACTGCAGAAAATAAAACATAAAGTTGAATACCAATGATTAACTAATATTTTAAATATTTACCAAGTTCACTGCTTGCCAAAAAAAAATTTGAAAAATGGATAATTTATTTTGATAATAAAGAAACGCAAAAAATAATTTAGTTAAACTGAGGAAAATTATAAAAAATAAAATCCGCTGACTTACGATGGTATATATCGCTGCCAATTTGCAGCCGGTCATCAGATCGCAGCACATACAATCCCGCACCATTTTCCCAGCGATTAAAAAACAATTTTCCAGCCAAAAAATTAACCGAAATTAATCCCGTAATAAGGATAAACGTCCGTCTGAATTTTTCAACAGGCGACGCAGTGGTCAACTGATATGTTCACTCCGATATGTACGGATATAATAAACGCGCGCGTTTTAATCCGGCGATGATCCGCGTGTAATGTCAATCCACTTGGTCAAATCAATGGCGAATTCATTGGACATATGCGCGCTGGTTAATATTCATTCAACTGCCGCGGCGATCGATCAGCGTATTGAATTGATCAGCGCTGTCGTGACTGGCGAGAGCGAGAGAGAGTGAATAGAAAAAACACTTGTCAAACGTAACTGTTGCCGGTTGTATTGCGGAAGTTATGCCGGCGTCGGCATTCCAAACACGGCGATGGATGAGTCATATACACGCCACTGTATACAAGTACGTTAGATTGTTACACAACAAATGCCGGCAAAATAAGGGAACTTGCGTTTGTGGAGCGGGAATGCTGGAGCGTCCTTCAGCGCGTTCGTTATTCTGATTGGCTGATTGTTTAGCCACTGTGCTGTGGAATGCTGATGGGTCCCGGAGGAATGCGGTCGGGGAGATCCCGCCGCTAACGACATCGTTATACAATCAGACAGGAATTTTACCCAAATGACGCTAATCTATTGCGCGAATAAATCGCTGATTATCCGATCGTGAGATTTTCCACGCAAAAAGACCAACACTTCGATGTGCCTCAAAATCCGGTCATTCTGCGTATATGTTTTCATAAATCGACCACGCATGCAGCGCGTTACTCGAATAAACAGCCGATAAAAACATTGGTCGCACGGTACATAGTGTTCTTAAACAAGCTTGTATACGAGAATAATTAAAAAATGATCAACTTTTCTAATGTGGAACAACGCGGAGCACACTCTGTCTCTGGTGTCCGATACACGAATCCGCATGGTGGAACTGTCCGTTATGCGGTCAACATCGAAGTATAATACACACTGGAGTGACCGCTGTGCGACCAGTCGAAGCACAGCAAATCCGTAATACCGACAACCAGTGAAAGTGACACAGCCAGCGTAATTATAACTACCTGGTTAACGCAGTCAACGCGACTCTCGCTTCTCCCGTGTAATCTGCACTGTACGCTTCAATGCTCAGATTGTATCACCGTAGCACGTTGTTAGATTTCGATTAGATTTGTTAGATTCCGGTGATTGTTACCAACTGACCGGTAAATCTGCGTTGTTCGCGCACGCATTGTTCATAGAGCACCTCCGGATTAAAATTCACTCTCCATCCAAACAGACAATTCGTTCTCTCGGTTCGCACGCAGACGCACGCTTTGCATGAACGAATCCAGATACTGGATGCGTTATGTGAACGATAGGCCATATATATTAAAATCGTTGTTTTAAGCTCAACTTGTGTAGTTCATGGTGGACAGATTACATAATATTATTGAATAAGTACAACTGCGCAAAAGTCGTAACATCAAGCAGTGCACGGACGGAATAGTGGCTGGCTTATCCCCTCTGTACAGTCTGTACACTGCATGATGTAGCGTCTGCTGTTCGAAAGTTAAATTCGCGCTGCGTTTCTTATCTCCTGCGTAACGGATACTTCCTGATGGGCTGCAGCCTACCGGGGTTCGCCATACAATTTGTCTTGACAGTTTTGCCGACGACCACCACCATCGTAGCGTCCTCCCAGCAATCGTACACCACGCCCGTGTACCTTGTATAGTTGTACCATACAGTGACTCGGCGCCACTGGGATCCGATACGCTATGAAACTGGGTTGTTCCACTGCCACGCGTTTCCGCGATTAGGCGACCAACACTGGACATCACTTCGTTGTCCGTGTTCCGCTTCCGCTGCGCTGTAAGATACACTAGGTAGTCTCGTAAAAAAATGCAGAAATCCCATGTTGAACTGGTGTTACGTGTACAGTAGAATCTGGTAATTAATTGTAAATACACCTACGGTGCAGCCGTTCTCAAATTTTTGTTATGCAGGTGTGCAGGATCCCCCCCTAGGTTATAGTCTACGGGATGCGCCGGTTCAAGTTCCAGTGTATTTACGTTCCAGGTGTATTTGTTTACCATGTGCATGTAGAGGCAGGTTTTACTGTACGAGTCCTCTTGATAACAATCATTGAATTAAGCGTTGCGATACAGTGTTTATGTTAGTACTGCAGTGTGAATCTGGCAACGTCATGCGTACGGATGGGACTCTTGGTACTCGTATATTTGCCCGTTTTTACGTGTCACGACATGGTATTTATTGCAGGAAGGTTTTTTTTTATGTTTGAATAACCAGTCATATGTACAAGTACAGTCACAACGGCAGGCTACTGTCTGCCATTGCAGCAATATTAGTACGTATAACTAGTCTTAGGCGGTCACTTACTGCGCAGAGAGCCTAAATTTTTACATGCTAATTTGAACGTGCTTAGCAGACCAATGTAACCATGTTAAAGGGTTGTATTAGGAGAGAACCGTGTTGTTTACGGAGCGACTAGATGAAGACGTGTTCTCACAGTCAGAGACTGTGACTTATAAAGCTAGACAACATGATGGTACGGACAAGCAATCAGGTAGAGAAACCAGAAAATCGGCGCAGCAGACTTGCTAGAGGCCAGTCGTGTTATGTCTCACATTAACACATCACATTATAGTTTATACTACCATAGTTAGTGCAAACGTGGACAATCTTCTTTGCAGTTAAAATGTTAAACATAAGAAAACAACCTAATCTTTACCCTCCCTGGAGCTGGAAGGTAGCGTACCACCGTACTCTGTACCTGACAACGCTGTTAATAATGACAGCCCAAACTAAAACGAAAGCAGTGGATCGCGCTTCCCCAGGAATTTTACCAGTTTTTTGGCCCATGAAAGCATTCGCTTGAAGACGGGCCGAAAACACCTAACGTTTCAACCATTAAAGGATATAAAAGATGCCGGTTTTCCAAAGACGAGTACGTCCGTTGCAGTCCAGCTTATTATTAGGTGGGCCGCAGTTCCGGGAGTCTTCCAACTCTGACCTGGAATCGTGCATTCCCTGGTTTATATTTTTTGAAGAGATTATGTACATCTTTATTAGCACAAACCAGACACATTGTGAATTTTTTTTAATATAAGCAAGACTGACTATAACAGAAAAATTTCTCTCAAGTGGTCCTTTATATCCATGGTTCCGAGAACGGACACCGCGTTGCCCCGTTGAATTTCGATAGATAGACGCTACCGTCAAAATTCATGTGATCGAGGTTCACCAGTGTGCTGCTGCAGTTTCTATTGCACAGAGGTATGTATTAGCGGGTTATTAAACTAATTCCTAAACTTACTGTTATTTTGTGCTCGTAGTGCTTTGTAAACAATGTGGCTTAGTTCTAGATCTGGAGTGGTGCACCTGAAAACAACTACACCCATTATGTCATCATTGTCATGCGCAATCACTGCTGTGTGTAATGAATAATCGATACAATTAATGAAAACAGTAGCTCGCAACTTTGTACAAATTGGCGAGCGATACCGTATCCATGTTTTTTCGTACTTCGACCTTTATTCTCAACCCTGACACTTTCACAATATGAATTCAGGTACGGCCGTCAGAGATAGGTATTCCCTACATTACGCATTAGCAAAACTTGAAAATGTTGCACTAATATCTTGTACAAGCTTGTACAAAAACAACAATCATTATGTGACCAAATTTCGAACAGTTTTTGTCATGTGGAGCAACACGGAGAAATACCATGTGTCTATATTGTGAAAACGGAGAAATACAGTATTTGAAAATGTCCGGGGTGCGAACAGCGGCGACGGACAGCAAACGGTTCTTATAGAAATCCCTCGCTGGACAGCTGATTGTCCACTGCTTTTGTCCACATACTCAGCGTATGTAACACCAAGTTTTTTCGGGGCAGTTGTGCGAAAGGGAATCGTGTAGCGTGGTCTAAAGACCTCGGTGGCTGAACTCTCCATCTGAAAATATTCAGAAGAAATTTTTCAGAAAAGACTTATGAGTGTGTTTACTCAGCCCCAGCTCAGCCTCAGCCTCAGCCCCGGTCACATACTTAGTGAAGCACAAAAGAAAAGTTGTCCAGTAACATTCTTTCCATCCGGGCTTTTCAAAAATCTGGTTTAAATCCGCAATACACGCTTGTATAAGAAGATACTTGAAGGATTCCAATGGTTGGATAATTTCATCCAGGTGATTAGAAAGCGCTAATTGGACATCGCATTCCGATTCCTTAGCGACAGAGTAGGCAAAACCGGGAATGAAAATACTGAGCTTTGTTCGGTAATCAAATTCGACGGGCGCTCCATGGAGAAATTCATGTAGATGCCGGTAGCAGGAATAGCGTTTAAAAGCAATATTGCGGCAGATCTGCGACAGGGCGCTCGTGAGGCGGTTAGCGTCCCAGTTGAGAAAATCCCGGACGTTGCACTCGTTATCCACCATCACCAGCCAGGGTAGGCGGATATTCATATAGGAAAATAACACGGCCATTGGTTCGAGGAAATCAAACCATGGTCCCTGTAGATACACGGTGCGCGTGGTGGTTGTCACGGACATTTGTATTCGCTGGACGAGATGATGCGGGGATTCCTGATCTCGATATGGAATTATGGCGTCCGTGCGCAGAAACGGACACTGTAGGATTGCTTGCCAGCTGATCGAAACTCTAACCAACCCAAGTAAAAGATTAATTCAGCCATAAAAGTATGCAAAATGCAAAACAAATTACTGCAGGTTTCTAATCAAAATAATTTTAGCTAAATTTTTAGGTAGGGTATGTAGTATGGGTATAGTTTTGCACCTAGCCAAAAACTGCGGTAGTATTCTGTAGGTATAATATACATAGCACATAATATACATACATAATATCCATATACACATAATATACATGAGTCAGTTGATGCTGTGCATTAAGTGAAGTCTCTTTAGACTGTGTAAGAAATGTGTGTTTAAGAATAAAAATAACAACAGAAAGATATACATGCACATACATTTTACATACATAATATATATACAGTATTATACATGGCTGCATAATGTGGTATACATGATCTACACATAATATACATATGCTATTTTATAGCAGGCTGCATTCAGCTCCTCACATAAGCACGTACCATCCATCTGACAGATGATACGCAATGGATGGCTACCTACCTTTGTAAACACCGACGCTCATAGTGATCAAGATGGGAAAACACTTCGATTCGGACCAGCAATGGCGTGTCACCGAATTGTATCATGGTGGACGCCGGGAATCCTGTAAAATTACTTCAATACAATTCGGCGGCTGACAAAACGTACTGCGTCTCGACTTTTAAGCAATTGCATTATGGCTCATTCTTTATTTTTATACGCTTAGGCATAGTACCATACCGATACCGAAAATATAACGCTAAAGGTCTACTCTAAACATACAGTGGCAGAAGTATCCAACCGATTTACTTGCCACGTTAGGAGCGACGCGTAATCAACGCTAGCTACTGTAAATGCGCCAAATCGTAATTTATTGATTGGAGTTCTTTGTTTCTCGAAACCTTTAGAATGCTGTGATATTTTAATATTATGTAGCAGAGTACGTATGACTGTATCAGTGTGTAACTGGAAGTACGCATCTTCACTGATGTTGCAACTGAACTCATAACACAGCAACCACAGGAAATACACCATAGCGTTGCTAGGTAGGCAGCATAACAGAGCCACGAGAATCTTGTATACGTACATGTCGTACGTACACTCGTACATCACATTAAAATTTCCTCTTAGTGTGAGAAATTTAATCTCTGGGTAGTTTTTTAGTCGTTACGGTGATATCCATTAACAGCGTAATCTTATTTCCCACACAACTTTCAACCGAAGCACACGGGCCACGATGCTACCTAACCAACGGTCCAACGCCTTCCTTTTCCAATAATAATATGATTAATGTAGAGATCCCAGTTTTCAACAAGCCACTGTTGTAAAAGGAAATGCCTCGGCTGTATTGAGCACGTTACCTTTTAACCCAAGAGAAGATAGAGATTTTGTTTTCGGAATGTTTCAATTTTAACTAACCAGGGCACATACCGAGGCTATAAATTCAGAAAAATCTCATTTTTGACAGAAAGGTAGAACAACTACGTAGGATGTTTAAAAAAATTATTCATGTGCCATGGCCAATGGGCGTGGCCAAAACGAAATTTAAAAGTAAATCCTACACTATGCTGTAGCCTACAGGTAATGCACCGTGTCATACGGTAAAACTTTAAACGGTTTTTTTTTAATTTGCGTATAAAGAAGCTTTTCGAATAGTACTACACAGTACTTGTAAGTCATAGCACACAGAAGCATTCCAAATTTAGCCGCCTGCGAAACGAGTTTGTAAATGGTGTGCAACGCATGTTTCGCATGTTGGTACGCACGCGTTACCTACCGAGTAGATTTTGTAACTAGTTAACAAACTGTTGACACAAATTAAAGTAAGGAGCAGTGGAAACCGATCCAGAATCTAAACTACAATCTGCAGAAAGGGAAACAGCTATTACATCAAGCGAGCAGCACAGATAAATATATTTTAAATGAGTAAGCTGCCTTCGTACTGATTGTCCAGTATTATAAGTCTTTTAGTGTATGATGCGAAGCATTTCCTATAGGATATAGCACAGTGAAGAATTTATTTCTGAATTTTGTTTTGGCTACGCCCTGTTGACCATGGCACATGAGATAATTTTTTTATGCAACCTATATAGTTGTTCTACCTTTCTGCAAAAAACGAGATTTTTCTGAATTTATAGCCTCGGTATGTGCCCTGGTAACAAGTAGTGTACCGGCGCTTGCAGTCTTCGTTATCCTGGTGGCTACTGCCAATTTAAAAAAAAATTCTTTAAATGAAAATAAAATCGTGGGTACGCCGTACACTTACTCAGTACTGTACGAGTACGTATTACAAACGTACAGGGCTGCTGTCAATGGCTCGGGCAGAGAATCCCGGTACTTTTTGTTGACACCCGGAAGGAGTATGACGTTGCGGTACTAAATACGGGTAAGTGAGGCGCTGTACATAAGCCCCATGTTCAGACACAGCGGCAACAAGTACAGGGAGGACTTGCCTAAGCAGCTGTCAGCCCCTTTTATTACTTATCAGCGTACTACTATGTTCAAACGACGTACTGACCTTCTTCGTCGATAAACACAATCATGTTATTCAGTAAAGATTTGATAAAATGCGGTTGCGCTTCTAGTAAAAACGACTGCACCCAAAACAGAGTCTTCAACTTGTCGACGCTTAATAGTAGCAAGTCATCAATGTGCTTCTGGGCCAATGTGCTCAACGGTCCTCGGCTCAACACTGTCAGACGGCTGTTCACCATGTCGATAATTCTGGACTGGGTATCGCGCGACCAGCACAGCCAAAAACTGCGGCGGTACATACACTCGCGCATCACCCCGACCATCCGCTCCGGTAGCCGCACGGTCGTCTTCCGAAAGGTTTTCTGTGTGACATTGGAATAGCGGGCGCGAAGAGATCGCAGACGCTGGGACGCCGGGTTCGCCAGGTCTTCGCTAATTAGATAGCGTTGACAGTCGATGCCTTCCACCAGCACGAGCCACCAATCGGAAATCATCACCGTGCTCTGAAAGCGGTGTTCCTGCAGTACGCGCACGCTCTGCCACTGCGCCGGTTCACCGACACCGCGACTGATCAGCGCTTCGCTCGGGGATAAGGAGTCTGTATTCCATACCGGGTCTTCACGGAATCCATCCACCGACCACGTTATCAAGCGGTTGAACGGCACCCGTATCGGGTTGGGGTCCCAGAAAGTGGATTGCACACTGAGACACCCGACGGACACGTCGCAGACGTACCCGGGGGTGAGAGTGCCGGTGTCGCCGATAATGTCCACTAAGAAAGGATCATAAGCTCTCTGTAAGGAGTGGTAGGGTGTTGGAATTAAGTTCAATGATACTGGAGGACCATTTGGTGAAGACATGGCTGGATGCGAACGGCTCAACGGTTCATGAACGATAAGCGCCGAAAATAAACGTCTTCTGAGCAGGAATATTCGGGGAAAATCCAAGTGATAAGCAGCTGTGTTCCCTGTAAGAGGATATTAAGAGAATAAACATTCAACTAATTTTTCTGAGCGAAGTCAGGTTACTCCTGATACAGATAATATTTTCATGTGCATTATGTATAATATTATATCTACGGTATACCCATATTTTGTACAGGATTCAACTGGCTTATTTAATGCGTATCACGTATAACATGATCGTAACAACTGTGGAACACTGGCTGTTAGATGGCCTGGACGATCGATAATTCGTTGCAACGTAGCGCACAACTGCTAATTGGCAGCGCGGCACGGCATACCGTCGTTCCTTTTTGTGTAGCGATTAGCGATGTATCCTGCTCTGGCGTATGCTGCCAGCCGGCCTGTACCGTCATTCTGGCTGGCCCGAGCTATCGATTAGACATACAACCCATGACTGGTAAGCTATTGATTAGACATACCCGGTACATCCCATGCCAGTCTGCTTCATGGACATTGGCCAATGTGTGATTGAGTGAGCAAAAGCGTAGTTTTCTGCGCGGGGCGCATGTAGTTGGCTCTCAAAGTGATAGAAATAAGAGGAACTAGGAACTGTTGTAATTAATTTTTCCGGCGATTGTGTTGGATAAAAATTATGTGCGACCTTTAAAGGTAAGAGAACCCCGTCATAATTAGGTACAGTAGCTTCAAGAACTTTGCTGTAATCAACCGCACAATGCTTTATTATTGTTATGGTGACCCTATAGCTATCCCTTTTTCGCAGTACCCCGTTAATTATAAGCACCCTTTATTTAATTATTTAATTTACTTTTTAGACACCCTGTTTTTTAAATGTAAGTAAGTGAATGTTCGCACAAAGTACTGTCTGTACTTATACGACGACACAAAACTTGTACGAATACTACACATTGAATACGTTAAACGTTAGGAATGCGCGGAAAAACCTTTAATAATACGCAGCAAGCTAAAGAAAACCGGAGAAAAAACTTTCAGATACCCGAATTACTGTGCTTGCTCGGCCCGATAATACTGCTTGCATTTCTGTCCAGAGCTTGGCCACTAATCATTCGAGCAGTCCCACTCTTGGGTGGGGAAACAATTCTTAAAATATCTTGAAGATCACGCGTTGTCCTAAATAGATTACAGATCTTAAAATTAAAAAAAAATTAAATGGGCGCCTATAAAAAACCAAAATAGGGCGTCTCTATTTAATTAATAGCTGAAAAGGGTGGCTATAAGAACAGGGTGCGAAAATGGTAGCAAGAAAAACGGGGGTGAAAAGGGATGGCTATAGTGATTTCCTTATTATTAATACATCGTATAGAATATACCGAAAGACGGAAATATGCCAAGTGCTTCATAAAGATAAAATTGGCGGGTTTGGTAAAATTGTTTTACCTGTCAGCGAGTCAAAAACCACTCAGATGTGCCGGCTGAGATCTGCGGTCCCTATGGAGATGGTACTGAATCCTTCGCAGAGAAGATCGGCAATGGAATAGTAGTCCCAACCGGACAAAAACGGGCAAAAGAATTCTTCCGGCAGCGATTGTCAATTCAGATACAACGCGGAAACGCAGTCTGCGTTTTGGGCATGATTCCCTATCCAGATAGCAGTGAGGAAGTGTTATGGTTGTAATTTGGTGTTTTCAGCGCTAGTTTGAGGGAAATTAATGTTTAGATAGGATTTACAGTACAATATTAAATTAAGGTGACCACTCCGTACACTCCCTTTCACACCCTTTTACTGCGTACACAACCTTTTGCACTACCTTTCATTCCGTGCCCAAACTTTTTGCGCTACCTTTCATTCCGTGCACAACCTTTTGAGCACTACCTTTTACTCCGTACACAACCATTCGGCACTACCTTTAAGTACTTTTTTTATAATTTTTTCACAGCAAAGTTACTTCTGGTACTGCCGTTTTTCGTTAACATATTTCAAAGCATCATCGGCAGTTACAAAATCGAATTCCCGGTAAAGCTTTTTGCGTGTTTTTCAGCCTCTTTCAGTTTATGCTTTTCTCGATGGCAAACAGGTGAAGGGTGTCCTCCGATGTTCATCGAAATATTTTTTAAACTGACTGAACGTTTAAAACTGCGCGCCTTGAAATATCGAAGAATGAGGATTAGAATCCACACTATTACAATCACAATCTTCGATTTCCTAGCTGGACATAGTGCAAAAGTTTTAGAGAAAATACTCCAAATTACCATGTGTACTTCTGTACATAACAGTTATCAAAGAACTTAAAAGGACTGATTGCAGTAAACGTTTAATAAGACTATTACGGATAGTTTAATAAGACTTTTTTACGGTAGCGTGGATTGGTAGTGTCGAGTGAATGGTAGTGTCAAAGGTTGTGCACCGAAAGGTAGTGTGAAAGGGTGTGTACGGAGTGGTCACCTTAAATTAATGTTTCGTTTTTATACAGAACACTGAGAACAGGAAGTCATTAACCATTAACCGGCAACCTTCGTTTTGGCTTAACGTAGTCTTCGCCAATGTTCCTCCATTATTCACAATTGGTATTATCTATTTTGTTCATAGGCAAACTTGCCATCAAAATACGCAAACGTGCTTTTGATATTCCGCACTACCATGCAAATGGCCATCCAAATATATCTGTACCATCGCTTCTTCGTCGCCAAGCTCTGAACGAATGCACCCGCATCGCGCTGCACTATGTACTACGTAATTTATACCTGGGAATTCTGTTAAATGGACACCGCTAACTTGGCGTGAACGGGGTGTATACACCGTCATTCCAAGTTCAACTTGTGTAGTTCATTGTGGACAGATCGCAGTTACTGGATAAGCACTACTACGCAGAAGATGTAACACCAGGCAGTGCATGGACGGAATAGTGGCTGGCTTATCCCCTCTGTACATTGCATGATGTAACGTCCGCTGTTCGAAAGCTGAATTCGTGCTGTGTTTCTTGTCTCCTGCGTGACGGATACTTCCTGATGGGCTACAGCATACCGGGGTTCGCCACACAGTTTGTTTTGGCAGTTTCGCCGAGGAGCACCACCACCGTGAGGTCCTTCCGAGACAAATTGAATCGGAATTCTTTATCACGACGACGGAACTCATTTTTTGGAGCCTTTTTTTCAGTAACATGGGAACGTCCGCGGACACAACGGCTTCTAGGAATCTCAGCATGTTGCACCAGTACTTCAAACTGTTTATCCATGATGAATTCTTCCTCCCTTGAACCGGTCACCACGTCGGCATCCTCGTCAATTAGCAAACCCACTGCCAGACGTAGCCTGGCAGTGTTGTTCTGCTGGTCAACGAGGTGCTATTAAGAATTTGCAGATCGAAGACAGGTCGCCAGTGACGACAGAAATCGCGCACAACCAGGTACGCACTGCTGTGCCAAACCGGTCGCCTGTGATAACCATCACTACTCGTCTGTTCTGTACTTGCAGGTTGGTACCTATGTACCATTTAGGAACGAATGAGCTCTTGTTTTCTGTGATATACTTCAGCCGTTTAATGTGTTCCACTGATATTCCGTTAACGCAACTGGTTGCCTGTGTTCCGCTTCCGCTGCGCTGTATGATACACCAGTAAGGCCTTGCCCCGAATTCTAAGCGAATCTCGTTATGGTACGGTTGCTCAACCACACGAGGTGGCTGTATGCAGTGGCCACGCCTACAGATACGGTACACGAAGCCACCTCGCAAGGTGGAGTTGCTGTATCGCAACGAGATTCGCTTTGAATTCGGGACGAGGCCTAAGTCTCATAAAAAAGTACAGAGATTCCCATGGTGTTTGTAGAGGCAGGTTTTACTGTATGGTCCGCTTGGTAACAATATAGAGGCTTTGAGCAGAAAACACCATAACCATACCTTAACCATCCCTTATCGTGTAGTTAGACGACCGCCATCGAGGTAGCAGTGTACAAAGTACTCAGCGAAGGCGCATAGCTGACTCTTGGTCCCTTCAGATTTAATTTGTTTTCTCGCACTGCGTGAAACGATCTCTTTCCAAAAAATTACATTTACATTCAAAAATGTTTTCTCTATTCGAAAGGTGTATATCTGGGGAAGTTAAATTGGGCAGGTGTTAAGAGGAGCCTTTGAAAGTCCATCACCATACGACGCGTTTGTATGGTATTCACACTTTACCATACGTTCGCACTTAACCATATAGTATGGTTAAGTGTATGGCTATGGTTAAGTGGAGCAGTTGCTCAAAGCTTTTAATCACTAAATTCAGCGTTGCGATACAGTATTTGGTACTGCAGTGCGTGTTTCTGGCAACGGCATGCATATGGATGGATCCTTTGTACTCGTACATTCGCACTTTTTTACGGGTCACGACAATAATCGACCGGAGCGTAGCGAAGGTCCTCTATATTCAGGACTAATGCTTTCGTTGATTTCTGTCCGTTACGGAAGGTCGTTACGAAAGGTCGTTATGAAGCTGTTGCTGGCTGGTATTGTTGCTAAGTTTAAATTAATATTAATTAATTAATTAAACAAATCACTTAATCCAAATTTGTTTTATTGACAAATTGTACAAGCTAAAAGCCATTTACACTTGAACTTGATAAACCAATTTAAAACAAAAAAAAATAATTCTTCAAGCTCTTTAGAACACCCAACCGCTCCCAGAACAGAAGCACCGTTCGCACGCTGAATTTCCACACTTATACGCTGCCACAAAAATTCGGTGGCGCGCGCTTCTCCTGTTTGCTCTTTAATGCGTCGGCCAACTTCACTGATGAAATGACGGGTACTACCGCCGCAACTTCCCATAGTTTCGAGGGCGATTGGTTCGAAAAAGTGTCGATCAGTGAGTTCCGAGTAAAGGTTTCTTATTCATGTTTCCGCGTCATCAGCTGCAGATCCCGCGGCTTCTGATGAGCCGGCTGCATACGACGTAGCGAACGTGTCAACAACCGTCACATCCCAAATCAGAGGAAGGCCATTTTTCCAAGGAAAGAGTGATAAGCCATCCGGCCGTTTCCCATCTAATCTGCTCGGTCCGGGCGGTTCCAAGATTGTCGGCACTTTGGCTGAATCCAGACTACGGTGGATTACACTGTTCAGACTGGCGTGCCGCCTGAACCTTCCTTGACTCCTTATGCACGACAGGCCATGTAAGCCAAACGCATCAACAATTTCCCCAAAACGGCATATATGCTCCCTGCATACTGGTGCC